AAAATTTGACAAAGAAAAACGAAGGAGATCAGAGAGAAACGGAAAGGGATGACGGATGGAGAGCAAGAGATCGGGCTCGCGAGATAAAGAAGGTCGACAATAATAATGCCTTCGGTGCACCCTCGATCCCGTGGTAGCGGGCGCAGCAGGCAGCCATTATATTGTTTTACCTCTGTATCTCGACCGGAGATCAGCGAATATGCCGCGGAAGGCTGAATACGCGCGCGCCTTCGACGGGCAGAAAAGAGAATCCGGAAGAAGGGGCTCGCAAGGGAGACTCGCCGTGAATGAGTGCGAGCAGGGTGCTAGTGATAAAAGCACGTTAACCCGCCTATCGCGACTTAGAGAGAGATTGAATGCGCGAAGTGCTATTAAATCCAGAACCAATCATTTTCGAATTTATCCTACCCTTAATCTTGTCACGACTGGTTCCTTATATTTTTAAATTCGAAATTCGGGGGCTCAGGGCTCAACGAGCGTGACTGAATATTTTAAACCAAAAGGCTCGAATAAAGATTAAAAAGTAACCGATTTGACGATTAGAATTTTCTTAATGCGTATACAATTAAATTTTAATATGCAAATTTTGCTTTACGTAAATTTCACTTATATGTTACTACTGAACGAATTTAGCGCAAAGTATTCGTGTAAATATTCGCGATATATGAGGATAAAAGGATTTTATATTATTGCCAAAAATATTGTGATCCCTTCCTCTTCCCTTATTGTTGTTTCCTCGTTGGTGCCGCCAATAACACGTTTATGTTGTCGCGTACACGGCATCAGCGATATTGAAATCGCAAAAAGGTATTTGAAATCCCGCGTTTCCCCCCGCAACGACACCCATGCGGAGTTTAGAGGAGGAAAAAACAATGCTGCAACGACCCCCTTTCGCCTAGATCATGATGGAGACCCTTTCCGCGCGTTCTCTTATCTCTCTTCTCTTTTTATCTCGTTGGTCTTCTGTTTATCTCTTTCTTTTCTTTATCTCTCTTTCTTTTCCGCCTGCCTGTTTCCTTCTCGCCACCCTCTGGTGAAAATTCTTCTGCATGCCTCTACGTCGTCTGATCTCGCGGTACAATGCAACCCCCGGGATGCATTGTGCGTCAGACCCACCAGACAACCCGACAACGTCGACAACACGACAACGGCTGCGAACGATGATATCTAAGCTAAACTGACTGCATTTCAGAGAATATTTCTTGCGCAATGTTCCGAGGATTAATAGCATGCCGATCGATATTATTGAAATGATGTGAAAAGCAAGGCACGATCCATTATGGAAATGAAAACATTTTTATATAAAGAAATTATAAATGCTTTGCAAAAAAATTATAATTTTCAAAAATTTAATTAAAAAATTTAAGCACTTTTCAATACTCTCTTATTATTTATAGTCGTCTCAATTATCTTGATCAAATCTCTCTTTTTGAAGTTATCTTTAAGCAAAACGATTTTGGAAGATTTTTGGAAAATTTCTATGAAAAAAAGCAAGAACAAATTTTGCAATAATATATTCTTTATTAGCTGTAATGCAACTTGCATAATTAAATGAGTTAAAAACAATTTGCAAGAGAACGATAGAATTACCAGTCACTTTCAAGGTAACTACAGGTTTTTTTCTCAGACTATTATAATTGTTTCAAGGGAAATTGTTCTGTTGATCTATTTTCCATACTTCGTTGAGAAGGAAATGAAAGTAGTAATGGCGCTCTTCGCTAAAAACATAAAAATATAAAAAATGAAAAAGTCCGTCTGTGTCCTTGCTAGTTGGGTCCTTTAACGCGAACTCTTTATAGAAAGCGCGAAGAAAGTGTGTTGTGTTCTTCGGCGTTATAAAAGTATCGACATTATCGGGAGAATCGTGAGAACCGCTGAAGACTTAAATAACTCCCTTTGAGAAGCGTATATACGTAGGAGAGTGCTTAGAACGACGAAGGGTTAACTTTAATATGCGCTGTAGCTAATTTATTAAAACAATCTCTCGTTGAAAATAAAGTAATAAGTTGCAACTTTTATTTTCAATATTGTTGAAGCGAAAAACGGATATTTATTAATATGCGTTTAGAATTACCCAAGTAGAAAAATATACAAGAAAAACTGGTTATTCACTAGAAACTAGTTAGTTTTTATTCTTTTGAATTTACTGGACAGTAACTATCCAATAACTGATCAGAAAATTTTTGTTAGATAATACTGATCAGCAATTAGCCAGAAACTACCTAGTAAATGCTAACCAGTTTCTGGCCAATAAAACTCGAAATATTCTGACTAACATTTTCTGGTCAATAATTAGTTATAAATTAACCAGATATAATTGGTCAGTAAATATCAACTAATTTCTATCAAGTAAAACTTAGATTTTTCTGCTTATTTATCATTTAAAAAAAATAGTCATACAAAAATCAATCTGTAAACAATGTATACGTTTCATAAAAAAAATATACGTGATTTGGAAAAAATAAAAAATTATTTAAGAACACTTGAATATTGACATTTTCGGTCATCAGACAAGAGCCTAATTATATCTAATAGTATTTTATATATATTTTTATACATTTCGCCTTTGCACTTTTGAATTATACGCCAATTGTTATTCGATTTTGAAATGCGATTTTTACATCCAAGTTAAAAACATATCATACTATTAAGTCGATAACCAATTTATTTTAAATCATATTATTTATTACACAATTTATTGAGAAAAAAAATATCACTTTATAACTAAAGTTTGGACGTGAACCTTTTTATTATTCGAGATGGACATTTTTATCAATTCGGCAGACTCGTAACAATATTTATGGCAACAAAATTGCAGCGAACTTTTTATAAACAGATAATATAAATTATATGTGGACTAAGTAACTATTAAGAAGAATATTACAGTTTAAATAGTATAGTATTGACATCACCAAATATGAGATTCTTTTCTTTCAACCAGAAACGAAAAGAAATTCTGAAAGTCCTGCTAAAAAAGTCTGATCTAGATTCTTAGGATTAAAATGCGCTATATGAGAGGAGACCAGATCGAAAAATCTCGCCCCCTCGCCAATGTCAGGACGGGGGGAGCGAGCGGCGCCTGCAGCTCGCGCGATGATTGCGCCGTAATCTGCTTTCGCTTTGCTTTTCCGAGGAACGGGGAGGTGGTTACCGCGTGATTGGCCGGGGGCGTCGTTGGGTCTCCCGTTTCGACCGATACATCGACAACAGTCGAGATACTTAGGGAAGATACACGCGAATGAGACAGACCTCCAAGAAGAGAATGCGAGAGAGAGAAAGGGAGATGTCGACAGGCGAAGAGAGCACGTGAGACGATGGCGAGAGGGCGAGAGGGGAAAGGACGGGGATGAAACAACCCTCCTGACACGGGTTATCCTATAAACGATGCTACCCCCGCAGCAACGCATCGATAATCCGGCCCCCGGGGCCCGCATGCGGTTGAACGCTCGCAACAGTTACCATATTTGATTGCGTACCTCCTTCCCACCACCCTCTACAAGATCGGAATACGGAATAATATGCCATACTGCAAAATAATACGGAATACGGAATAATATGCTATATTGCAAAGATCATGCGCTCGCGATAACACATGCTATTTTCATTAGAGATTAGCGTTATTAATACTATTGAATAAAAAGTAAAGCTATTTCTGATTATAATATTAATACAGATATATGTAATAATCGAATATATATAGTCATATTATATAATCCTATATTGAATAAATAATTAATAATAAAATTGTTGTTGGAGTTCATATATACAATTTATATTTTTTTATAAAAATTTCGCTGCAATTTTTACAATCATCTATAAGACAATTTTTATAAGTTCAATTATATAATTAAATTTATATAAATTAAGACGAATTAAATTTAATATTCAATATTCAAATTAAATATTTTTATAATTTTAATTATTTAATAATAAAATTGTTTACATCTTGATTTTCGAAGGTATATCTTTCACTATTAATGCCAATAAAATTTGTGCCAGTAAAAAATTTTTAATAATGTTATTACTTAAGCTTGATCCAAGGAAATAAAATGCAATTGTTACGAAAAATATTTAAATTAAATAAAGGCGAGAAATTCTTATATAATTGCATAGTCAATGCTTGGTCAATTGCAAAACATTTTACAACTCGCTCATATACAAGTGAACAAAATCGCAAGTCGTTCCTTACGATCGACAAGTATTGGCGAGTGTAAGTCGCGATAAATAAAAAAATCGGAGGGAACCGTTTTTCTTTGCTGTTTCTGACGCACTCTGCGTCGGCGACGATGGCGATGGCGGGAAAATGCAGGGGAAAGAAATCGCACGCGTTTGATGTGCCGCCAAAGAGAAATAGGAAGGACGGGGGGAGAATACGCCGTCGGAGTAGTTTCGCGTGGGTTGGTCGACTGCAACCACGTTTCCGCGCAACCCCCTGCAACCCCCGTTCAGCTCGACCTCCCCGCCCCCTCTTCCCTCCTCTCTCTCTCTCTC